TATATATATATATATATATATATATATATATATATATATATAACGTTTTATATTTCGTCATGTATAATTATACATATTTTTACACAATTATGTAAAATATCCCAGTCAACAAAATGTTAGCAGCCTGCTGGCAGTTTGCGAGCAGATTCGCTCAGAACTTGGCAGCAAATACGGTGCCATCTGTGTCCGCATTAAGCTCGTATTCTGTCGACAGAAACTGACATAGGTTGACAGCAGATTGGCGGCAGAAAACGAGCAGGATCTGCGCAATATAATTTGATGTCAGATTGTCAGCAGAAATCGAGCAGAATCTGCCGTCACAATTTAAATGGAATAGCGGCATTTAAATGCTTCATTACAATTTTACATTTCTCGTTTCGCTTATTAAAAGTAGTAAATGAGGTATGTAAAGTATATAATATATATTTGCTTTATTGGGACAAAAAAATACTTATGTTTTAATAAATTTATTAGGCAAAATCTCGAAATCACTAGAATATCGGGTCAACTCGCAGCGCATTTTCAATTTCAAAAATCAGTTTAATATTCTGAATCTCTTATGGGGATTGTATCAGATTATTGTATTAAACTGTTAAACTTCATTAAGCCACTGGCCACACTTTATATGCACTGTAGATGAATTTTGAGTACGAGTTTATATACGAAGAAACACGCCGCATAGCGGCAATCAAATTGCATTGCGCAGATTTTGCTCGATTTCTGCCGCCAATCTGACATCAAACTGCATTATACAGATCCTGCTCGATTTCTGCCGTCAATCTGATATCAAACTGCGTTGCGCAGGTCCTGCTCGGTTTCTGCCGCCAATCTGCTGTAATAATTCCGAGCAAATTCTACTCGGTTTCTGCTACTGATCTGCTATCAAATTATGTCAGCAGATTTTGTAACATTTCTGCTGACATTCTGCTATCATCATCTGATGTAACAGATTTTGTATACAATCTGCAGTCTTTCTGCTGACAAAAATTTGTAGCAGACGTTTGGCAATATCTGTTCGAACAGACTTTGCTGACTGGGAAATTAAGACTACGTTTATAACTAAATATGTGTAGAAATATACGTACATAGCGATAACAAATTGTCAGTCTAACATTCCTTGTAAATTTCCATTTATATTCTGCAATTGCCTATATGTTTATTTCTTACAACTCTATAGAACTTCCCGATTCCCGCTTTTATGGTAAACACCAGCGACGCGAACGTACAATGTATGTACTTCGAAGAACTCAAAATATTATCGGTAATGTAGTCCTTCTGCAATATAATTGATTGATATTAGCAGAGAGAAGACTGAGAGTGGACATGTCCACATTTTACGTGTTTCTGTGGGCTAGCGCCTCTATATGCACAAAACGTGCACATTAAACTACGTAGCCAATGTCCACGAATCCCGTAGGTAATGTCCACGATCTTTTGGGTCTCTTCCGTGCTACGTCCACGACTTTTTGGTTCCGATATGTGCTATATTTACAAGTGTCGGTAATGCATACTTGTAAAACATGATTATGTATATTAGAGCTCGGCGTTAGTTGCACATTTCAGCTCGATTCTTGAGACGACGCCTTCCGCTGTCCCACTACCGCGCGGCCGCTGGCGGCCGAACCGCCGATAGCCTTGAGTCAGGAGCGTCTGTGTAACGAATAGGCTGATGATGAGCGGGCACCTTTCAGAAAATAAAATTTTCTTTGTTATAGAAATAATATTTATTTTTACTAATTATAATTAAATATCTTTATTACATTTATTATAATAATTTACGTAGACAATAATATATAATATTTTAAAAAATAAAAATAATTAACATAAATCAAATTATTAAAAAATTTAACTTTTTAATAAAAATTGTATGGCTTTTTAATTAGAAATCAATAGCTTTCCACATTACCCTTGAGATACTATTGTGAATGCGTTTTTAAAAAAGTGGTTTCCCCAATAGGCCTATTTTATTAAAAAATAACAAAGATAATTTAATATCTATATTATAGATATTAAATTATAAAAAAATAACAAAGATAATTTAATATCTACATTATAGATATTAAATTATAAAAAAATAACAAAGATAATTTAATATCTATATTATAGATATTAAATTATAAAAAAATAACAAAGATAATTTAATATCTATATTATATAATTGAAAGCCCTACAAGCCCTACTAGTACTGGTAATCTGTTCACTATTTGCAGTGCAAGTGCAGTGCCAAGCATGATAATCATAAGTTACCAAGGTTACCAAGTTAAATGGCTAGTGGATGATAAGAAATGGAAAAAGTAGGAGCTAACTTCTGCAATTGCACAAATAGATGATAAGCTAAAAAACTGTGAAGAGTCATCTGATAATTGCCAGTAAACACAAAGTAACAATAACGTAACATTAATGTTATAATTTCCACATTACCCTTGAGATACTATTGTGAATGCGTTTTTAAAAAAGTGGTTTCCCCAATAGGCCTATTTTATTAAAAAATAACAAAGATAATTTAATATCTACATTATAGATATTAAATTATAAAAAAATAACAAAGATAATTTAATATCTATATTATAGATATTAAATTATCTTTGTTATTTT